AACATCAACTGTTCAGAGGGGACTGTGTGAATCAGGCCTTCATGGTCGAATTGCTGCAAAGAAACCATTACTAAAGAACACCAATAAGAAGAAGAGACCTGCTTGGGCCAAGAAACATGAGCAATGGACATTAGACCGGTGGAAATTTGTCCTTTGGTCTGGAGTCCAAATTTGAGATTTTTGGTTCCAACCGCCATGTCTTTGTGAGAAGCAGTGTGGGTGAAAGGATGATCTCTGCATGTGTATTTCCCACCGTAAAGCATGGAGGAGGAGATGATATTATGGTGTGGGGGTGCTTTGCTGGTGACACTGTCTGTGATTTATTTAGAATTCAAGGCACACTTAACCAGCATGGCTACCCCAGCATTCTACAGCGATACACCATCCCATCTGGTTTGGGCTTAGTGGGACGATCATTTGTTTTTCAACAGGACAATGACCCAACACGCCTCCAGGCTGTGTAAGGGCTATTTTACCAAGAAGCAGAGTGATGGAGTGCTGCTAATTTGTTTCTGATCCAGTAATTGAAGAAAATAACAGATTGTTTATTTTTATGGTAAAACAATTGAGAAAAATGAAATAAGACAATGTCAAAGTTAAATTGCTACCGTCCAAATATATGATAGAGATTTACATGAAATACTACACCTGGTAAGATGTAGCCTACAGAAAGTAAACTGACAACACAGAGCTGGAACAGCAGTCATTTTCTGTATGATGTCTTTGACTCCGCAGACGAGAACTTAAATAATCACCCACAGCCTCTTTGAAGGCCAACTAGGGATTCATACAGATTAATGGAATACGTATCTGGCACACAGTGCAATTTATAGACCAACATACACAATATCATGACCCAAATTCAATCCATTATTAAAAACTGCAACATCTCTCTGACCGTTTCTAGCCTATTTATGTCACACAGTTTCCATGGCTACCATGATTCTAATGCACATTTCAAGTGCAACTTCAACTTTCCTTTTCAGAGAGAAGATGATAATTCTGCAGCCACACATTGTTAATGGACTTCAACACTAGCAGTAATTTCTCAACAGCCATGTCTACAAATATTAGTAATGAACAATGTCATTGTGCAATATCTCAAATAAAATCTAATTGTATTGGTCACATGCACATATTTAGCTGATGTTATTGCGGGTGTAGCGAAATGCTTGTACTATAGGCATTCGTATAGCCATTCATATCGCCAACCACTTACATCACTGTTAGACAAAGACAAGAATACATATTTTTTGTAAAAGCATGATGACTGACAGTACATTATGCTCATTGAACAACAAAATGGGTCTTTCTGGCTGTAATCATGTAATGCAGTATGTCATATCTTCCTATAACAGATGCACAATAGTTCTTACGAATTTAACTAATCCCCTACTAAGAATATAAACATGTAACAGTTGAATCCAAGCATAGAATGTGAAACCAGTGTTGATGTGTGTACACAAACACAGAAAGACATCTGCATATCTAGGCAGCAGACATATGGATTTCTTTCCAAACGGCACCCCATTCCTTTTATAGAGCACTACTTTTGACCAAGAGCAGTTCTTTATATAGGGCAGAGGTAGGCAACCCTGTTTCTGGAATGCCGCAGGTACTGCAGGATTCTGTTCCAACTAGGCACCACACCTGACCAACTGAGCTAATTGATCAGTTCAGTGAATGCCTAAATTCAACACACAGACACATTCAACACCGCCTGCGGCACTCCTGGACCAGGGTTGCCTACCCTTGTTATAGGGGATAGGATAAGATGACATTTAGGACGGAGACCTAAAGATTACATTCTTGTTTCCTTGGCCACACACAGACCGTCACCATCCATTTCCTGTCTGCATAGACAAGAAGCCAAACACAAGTTGAGAATGACCCTGTGAGAACAAAGCAGCACCGCACAGGATAGGCCTGCTAACAATACGCTCAGTTCCTTATTTCCACCACGCTCAACAGTTCAACAAGGGCATGGAGGCCAGCCAGAGCACGCAACACAATACCTGGCCGCAGAAGGAAGATGACATCATTTCTCCTCAAAATGATTCATTGTCTTCGCTTTAGCTGTCAACTTCAAACATACAAGATCAACTCTATTGTGAGGGTGAAAACAAAGCCTTTGTAAGTGGGAGATAATTTAAACATAAAATATGTACTTTTTGCCCTTGAAAGAGAAATCAGATCATTGGTTTTTGCTAAGACTTCAAAGGCAAATCTGACCAGCTTTGTTAAGGACTTGTGTAACTAATCCTACTTTTGCCTTATAAAACTAGATTATAATTTCATACAATCATTAAATTAGGTTACCCTGAGTCTTGAATCATTACACTAAGTTAAGGGTCAGGTTTGATCCACTCAATTGTTACACCATACAGTGGCAAAGCTCAGTTTCTTTGTCTGTGAAAAACAGCCTCAGTTCATGGACAGAGAACATGTCTAGATCTTGTACGCCACCTACTGGCAGAACACAACAAATATAAAGATGAATGCAAACAAAAAAACACAGTAATGTCCTTGACTGATCTGATGCCAGACATCAGTAGTTAGTCCTTTACCAGACTAACTTGTTTGTGTTGCCAGTTCAGGTGTGAACGCCTTCCCCAGCCCCCTGAAACCCTCACAATAAGGGTGTTATGTGAAGCTTTGAGATCTAAAATGAAAACAAACATGCAAGATTAATTTAGCTCATCACCTAATCATAATGACATTTTGGCATTTTTAGAAAATAATGAGCCATGTGGATCAATACGTATTATGAATTATTTGGGCGGGTGCGTAGACCATAAATTCTCTCTCACACACACAAAGATAAAACATGTTCAAATAATACAATTTCTCCCTGTTCAGTTTATTTCATGATGCCTCCCTCTCAGGCACATACCTGTTCCCAATAGTTTAAGAAACATTTTATATACAGTAATGGTTAGTAAAATTATATCGTGAACATAACTTTAAAGGGAAAGACTAGGGATATCAATGCAGCAAATGAACCATTACACAATTTCACCTGTCATCTCTCTTGTACATCATCCGAATATATACTTTGAAGTACAAGACCCAAACAGTTAGTTACATCTATTCAGTAAAACCAGAGGATTGTGCAAAACATTTGAAGGACTGTAGTAGCTAAGTCAGGTCTGGTCAAATGAAACAGCAAGACAACATTTCAAAGTAAGATAATTTCTCATTGTAAGTGTAGTTCTCTTATAAACTTTATTTTTGCATGGATACTTAAAGCTATTGGGATTCATTCTATTCATTGGGAAAAGCAGTGACACATTTCATGATTTCCTTTGCAGCCTATTGACATTCATTTGACCAGACAATCAGCCTCCTGTGAAACTATTGGCATAATATACAATTCTCCCCCAAAACAAAAGTCATACCATTCTCACTGACTGTCCATTACATTAAAATGAGGCGCAGGTGAACAACTTCACCCCTCCCTCAATTAAGGAACAAAAAACAAGTACAATACTTTAAAAAATCTAGGAATCAAATTCTAAGACAACGTGAACTAAAAACAAAATACATATAGGCGAGGGATAGGCCTCTTTCTTGTATATCTCTGCATTCCCATACCAGATAAAAGTATAATTCCTAACACCCAAACAGATAGAACAAAAAAAAACTGGAAACACAAAATGAAGTCATGATAAACGTTTCACTTTGAACCTCGTACATAGTTTATTTTAATTCAACAGGTTGAGAAAAGAAGTCTGTCGTCTTTCCTTGTGTGTTTTTTGTTGTTGAAAGCGGACTATAAATATGGAATCTCTGTTTGAGGCCCAACCCACGTTTCTATCCAGGTACCTGTAACAAGCCAAGTCATTCCTTTATTATCCACAGACATCATGGCTGTGCAAGGCATATCTAAAATACATTCCCCGTTAAAATGAATACAAAATACATTAAATACTTTCAGATAGGTTGTGGTGGATTTCTTCTGTAAGAGGTCATGCTCACATGAAAAAAAATTGGGTTGAGAACAGAGATACCTACATTACATAGATACAAGGGTGGCTATTTTTGCATAAAAGGGTAAAAAAAAACACTTACAACTTAGTGATCAAAGATAGAAGTCTGAAACAGATTCGGCTCATAATTCATTAAAACACCAACTTCTGCACATAATTCACACTTTGTCTAGACCATCTTTGTTTTTCACATTCTCAAGGACACATGGCCATTGGCCAGTCAGGAGGACAGGTCAGGGTCAAACTAACCAATGGGAGGACTGGACTGTGGGAGGAGAGGCGGACACACACTGACCAGGCAGCCCAGGGGATGGTCCGAGGGGCCCTGAGAGCAATAGTGACAAACATATTTCACACCCCTCACTGGCCTCCCCATCCCATCAGGCTCAGCAGTTACTGTACTCACATACTTCAAGAAGCAGCACCAGTTACTGTACTGCACTCACACACCTCAAGAAGCATCACATCCTGACCAAAAGGATGGCTGACAATCAAGGCCTAGAAGCCCACAACTCTGTCCTGTGTGTTCACTGAACCCAGGGCAGACAACCCGAGGACTCCAGCTCTTTAAGGGCAGAGAGGGCAGATGCATGCTGATTGTTTTCGTCTGCTATCAAAGAATATACTGTAAAGATGTGTGAGACAATCCATAACAGCCTGATTGAGTGCACACCTCATATTCCGTTCGATGTTATCAGCAGGGTGCGTCTATAACGCAACATGCAGGTACACAGTAAAACACAGGTCTCTTTACAGTACAAGGTAAATCAAGATCCACTGGAACCTACAGGGTGCAGGCGTGGGCACCTATGTTGAGATCATAGTTGTCATGGGGCAGAGAGAAGAGGAGAGATAGTGTCAATTATTTTGCAGGTAGGGTTTGGATTTCAAACTAGACTACTGGTGACCCAGGACAGAACAGGGACAGGGGAGGAGAACAGGGGATATGACATGAGGACAGTTTGTTTGTGCTCTGCAGCATGATCCAGGTGGGGGCCAGCTTGTGTCCCATCATGAGGTGCCCTGTCTCTTCTGTTGCTGGGCACGGATCAGTTCCAGCTGCTTTTTGCACTTCTGGTAGTAGGTGGACAGAGACTTGTTCTCCTCCAGCAGCTTCTTGTGCTCCTGGACCAGGCGGGACGTGTTCTGCTGGTCCTTCTCATCTTGGTCCAGTTCAGCAATCAACTCTTTCCTGGAGATATACATTTGTTTTATTTACACACATATCTGCCACAATAGCAGTTTACAATACGGAAAACTGAAATGCAGTGCTGCAGCTTACATAAGATAACAAGAACATTACTAAAAAGAGAAGCACATTGCAAAGGAGAAAAGTGAACAATGCAAACAGACAGAGCAAGAACAAAATATTATACACATACAGTGCATTCGGAAAGTGTTCAGACCGTGTGTGTGATTATATATATATATATATATATATATATATATATATATATATATATATATACACACACACACATACATACATACATACATACATAATAGTAAAAATAAAGAAAAACCCTTGAATGAGTAGGTGTCCAAACTTAGTACCAGTCAAAAGTTTGGACACACCTACTCATTCAAGGGTTCTTCTTTATTTTTGCTATATTCTACATTGTAGAATAATAGTGAAGATGTCAAAACTATTAAATAACACATATGGAATCATGTAGTAACCAAAAAGGTGTTAAACAAATAAAAATATATCTTATATTTGAGATTCTTCAAATAGCAACCCTTTGCCTTGATGACAGCTTTGCACACACTTGGCATTCTCTCAACCAGCTTCACCTGGAATGCTTTTCCAACAGTCTTGAAGGAGTTCCTACATATGCTGAGCACTTGTTGGCTGCTTTTCCTTCACTCTGCCATCCAAGTCATCCCAAACCATCTCAATTGGGTTGAGGTCTGTGGATTGTGGAGGCCAGGTCATCTGATGCAACACTCCATCACTCTCCTTCTTGGTAAAACAGCCTGGAGGTGTGTTGGGTCATTGTCCTGTTGAAAAACAAATGATAGTCCCACTAAGCCCAAACCAGATGGGATGGCGTATCGCTGCAGAATGCTGTTGTAGCCATGCTGGTTAAGTGTGCCTTGAATTCTAAATAAATCACAGACAGTGTCACCAGCAAAGCACCACCATTTTACACCACCACACCATAACACCTCCTCCTCCATGCTTTACAGTGGGAAATACACATGCAGAGATCATCCGTTCACCCACACTGCTTCTCACAAAGACACGGTGGTTGGAACCAAAAGTCTCACATTTGGACTCAAAATCAAATGACACATTTCCGCCGGTCTAATGTTCATTGCTCGTGTTTCTTGGCCCAAGCAAGTCTATTCTTCTTATGACCCAACACGCCTCTAGGCTGTGTAAAGGCTATATGACCAAGAAGGAGAGTGATGGAGTGCTGCATCAGAAGACCTGGCCTCCACAATCCCCCGACCTCAACCCAATTGAGATGGTTTGGGATGAGTTGGACGGCAGAGTGAAGGAAAAGCAGCCAACAAGTGCTCAGCATATGTGGGAACTCCTTCAAGACTGTTGGAACAGCTTTCCAGGTGAAGCTGGTTGAGAGAATGCCAAAAGTGTGCAAAGCTGTAATCAAGGCAAAGGGTTGCTATTTGAAGAATCTCAAATATAAAATATATTTTGATTTGTTTAACACTTTTTTGGTTACAACATGATTCCATATGTGTCATTTCATAGTTTTGATGTCATCACTATTATTCTACAATGTAGAAAATAGTAAAAAGTAAAGAAAAACCCTTGAATGAGTAGGTGTGTCCAAACTTTTGACTGGTACTGCATGTACACTACCGTTCAAAAGATTGGGGTCACTTAGAAATGTCCTTGTTTTCGAAAGAAAATCACTTTTTTTGTCCATTAAAATAACATCAAATTGATCAGAAATACAGTGTAGACATTGTTAATGTTGTAAATGGCTATTGTAGCTGGAAACGGCTGATTTTGAATGGAATATCTACATAGGCGTACAGAGGCCCATTATCAGCAACCATCAGTCTTCTGTTCCAATGGCACGTTGTGTTTGCTAATCCAAGCTTATCATTTTAAAAGGCTAATTGATCATTAGAAAACACTTTTGCAATTATGCTAGCACAGCTGAAAACTGTTGTGCTGATTAAAGAAGCAATAACAATGGCCTTCTTGAGACTCGTTAAGTATCTGGAGCATCAGCAATTGTAGGTTTGATTACAGGCTAAAAATGGCCAGAAACAAATAACTTTCTTCTGAAACTCATCAGTCTATTCTTATTCTGAGAAATGAAGGCTATTCCATGCGAGAAATTGGCAAGAAACTGAAGATCTCGTTCAACGCTGTGTACTACTCCCTTCACAGAACAGCGCAAACTGGCTCTAACCAGAATAGAAAGAGGAGTGGGAGGCCCCGGTGCACAACTGAGCAAGAGGACAAATACATTAGTGTCTAGTTTGAGAAACAGACGCCTCACAGGTCCTCAACTGGCAGCTTCATTAAATAGTACCCGCAAAACACCAGTCTCAACATCAACAGTGAAGAGGCGACTCCGGGATGCTGACCTTCTAGGCAGAGTTGCAAAGAAAAAGCCATATCTCAGACTGCCCATCTTAATCTTTTATTTTTATTGGCCAATCTGAGATATGGCTTTCGATAATTGTGAATTACTCAGCTGTGCTTTAACAGGGGCACATCACAATAAGCACAACAGAGGCTGGTGAGAGATGCAAAGGAGCACCAAAGCATTGGCTAGGTCATGTGAGAAAAACGCTGATTCCACAAACGTGGTAGTTTTCTCGCTGAAGTCATTGTCTATAAATATGAGCTGAGTTCTTTAGCCAAACACAGCCAGTTGTTCCACTACACTCGACTTCCACAGCATAGGTCCGTTTGCCTTGGATTTGTCATCTAAATTCAGTAATTGCCTTTGGGTGGCCTTCTGCATAGTCATACGCCCAAGTTTCACATCTGATGGAGCTGCTTGTTATGTTAGTCACAAGACAGCCCACCCATTAACACGGGGAGACATTTTCGTCTGCTTGGTTCACACAGATGTATGGTCACATTCAGCAGGGCTTACAGTACAAGAGTTAATTACATTGAACACTGTAGTGCTACATCAGTCCCTTTTAAAAAGAACAGAATGAACAAATTGTGTATTACCTCAGCACTTTGGTAGTGGCTGAACGCTTGCCCTACAAAATGGAGAGGTACAGTAAGGGTTCACTACTTACCTTCTCTGGATCAGTAAGGCAATTTCTGTCTGCACTTTCAGGTACTCCTGGGCCATTTTACAGTGCTGCTCAAACATAGCCATGGACTCTTTGGAGTTTGGGCAAGGAGCGAGGGGCTGAAAATAAACCATGCATGTTGCCATTAATTGATCTTATAGCCAGTTAGAAATACATTTTGCAATACAGTCTATCAGCTCTCAGAATCGTCTGAGCTTTTAAAAATACACAACGTCTCACCGCCGTTGCCAGTGGGTATTTATAAAGACATTCCGCTTTTGAGATAGCGTCATTTTCTCACTTTGACAACAGAAGTCATCCCTGCACTAATTGAGTTAATAGTCAATTTGCAGTGTCCTTGACAACATCGTTGAGAGGGGAAAACCTCAACATTTGAATTAAAACACAAAATAAAGTAAATCTACAAAATAAAAATAATCAAGAGTTTGTCAAATGGCCAATCTCTAGGCCAATTTTGACAGGTCACACAAACACTTGAATGGGATGGGAGTGGGATCAATATGTTTTGTAGCATAAAATAATGCTTAACATTAGCAGGACAGGGTCGGGGGAGGTCCGGTATGAAATGGAACCCTACCTGCAGCTGGTGGTCCAGAGTGAGATATGCCATGGGAATGGAGTTGTCTGAGCCATTGGTATCTGGGCAGGAGAGAGCAAGACTTGTGTTTGTTTTTGATCTGACAGTGACACCAGCACAGGCCCAGTCGGTGCAAGACGAGTCGACTGGGCAGGGACACAGTTATCAATAGACACCAGAAGTCCTTCAACAGAAATAGACCCGTGTCAGTGTCCCCGCCCCTCTCAGGCACCGTGTGACAGGAGACCAGCGCCTTAAATCATTGATGAGGATTACGTAATGTCTGCAGAACCTGCTCAAGTGATTTACGCCCCCATCCACAATGACATTGATGCCATTACAGCACTCAGGGTTGTGAGAGGGTGACACAACCAACTGGAGATGCTGACTTCATTCAATCAAACTTGTTCTAAACACCAACCTTCACTTTTTCATCCATCAACAGCACAAGGGGAATGGGATATAATGTCTTGGGATCTGACATTAAGCAATAAGTTGAGCACCAGCATCAATATAGGAGAATACATTATGGAAGAATGGCATTATGAGTGAATTTGCTAATCAATTTTTTTTTTACATCTACCAAACTCCTTCCAGCTCCATCTGTAGAAGTAGCTGTAGACAGTGAGATGAGCGTGTTTGAGTGACAAGAGGTAGACTATTATACCTGTGGGGTCATCGGGAGAGAAGCTGTAACCTCTGCTGCTGGTCTTATCAGGCGGCATCATCCTCACACTGGGACTGGAGGACCTGCTGCTGTTCCTGCTCACCTGTAACAGGACCACAACACTGTCAATCACTCATACAGCCCTTGTAACAGGCCAACGACACTGTCAATCACTCATACAGCCAATCATAGAAGAAATTGCCCTTTTATTTTTGTCCATGGCGCATATAACACCTGATACTCAAGCAAAGTCAACAATGACTATGGGAATAGAATCCCACATGGCAATCCTGAGCCTCTTCCAGTGGGGTAAAACAATGCATAGTTTGTCAAGTGTCAAGTAAAAAGGGTCAAGTAAAAAGGGAGAAAAACAAGGTCTAAAGTCTGTCTGTGGTTATGTACACACTCCCGCAAGGGAGAAACATGTAAGAAAATCAGAGGAACCACAATTCTCTGTCACACTATTGGGAATTCATCATGAGTTGATCTCCACAGATAACCTAGCTCAAAATATTATCTTTCCTAATTCACAAAAGCTATAAGACAAGAACACAAAAATAAATCTGTGTCCAAAGTCTAGTTTCTTACTAAACTCAATGTGAACTTTGCTACTACATAGCACTGCACAGGAAGATGTGTGCCTTTTAACAAAATATACTGTGGAAATCAACGTTTAGGAATGCAAGGATGTAGGGGCTTATTTTAAGGTTGTCCGTAGGGGGGAAAGAAAATATTCTTCCTACACCTGGAATATCTTTTATCTTCTCAACAGTGACATATCAAACAGTATTCTCCGTCACATCCTGTAGCATTTCCCCCATGGGACACCTTGTTTGACCGAGCATGTATCAAATCCTCTGAGAGGAAGCAAAACATGATGGGCATGATCAGTCAAAACGCAAAACAATTCAAAGAGGGGAGAGAAGATACTACACCACCCTAAAAGCAAACCAAATGAAAAGCAAGAAAAGAAGAAGCTTATATTGAATACCACCTTTTGAGAATGCTTTGAGAATAACATGCATTTCCCCCTCTGAAAGGCTTCTGTACGGTGCTACACTAGACAACCCAGGCCCTGTCCGATTGTAGAGTCTCTTACCTGGCTGGACTCTGTGCCGATCCCTGGGAGGTCCTGTACTGATCTACGTCTCTGCGCCTCACAGGTGGCTGTGGACAGGATGGAGCGAAAGAGAGAGGGAATGGAGGGAGGTACCATGAGAGAGACCCAGAGACAGATCCAGGAGGACTTGTCTGTTGCCTATCTGTGTCTGCCTGTGGTGTGGGAGGGGGGGGGGGGGGGGTCCGATCCACAGAGCCACACAGAGACAGGACAGCTGCACAGATTTAACCCATGACTCCCTGGCCTGTCAACATGTGCTATGGCATGGCCGTAACGTGACCACAGAGCAGCAGTTATCCCCACCCAACCATCACACTAACACGGCACAACACACACGCAGACAAACACCACCACTACACTGCAGGCCACACCTACTGTACCACATGAATAGCTAAGCCTCACTGTGTCACATGTGTTTGTGCAGAGCTGCTTGTTTGGGTTGGAGGGGCTGTGAGTGAGGGTTGCCGGTGATGGGGAACTAGGCTATTTCAGGGCTCAAAGCACATTGAAGGGCCTCAGACAAGACTAGCAGGCCCTGTCCTCCAGTCTTCCTCATTATTCCCCAGCCAAGGTAAACCTGAGGTTGCCTCTGACCTGCCTGGCATCTTCAGAATAACAGGAGAAATTCCAGCCATCTGGCAGTTCAAGATATTATTAGTTCCATCTCTGCTGGAGAACTTTGAACAATGTCTTCAGAGTCACGTTTTACTTTTGGAATAATCTGGCAATGTGAGCATTGTGGTCTTTTTACCCTCCGCAGTCCTTGCTGTCAATCTTAGAGACCCATACAATAACATTTGAACTACTGCAATGTGGGACATATTAATGGAAACCATTAATGGTAATATTACATTTGGGACAATTGAAGTCAGTTGCTAGAAACGTGACATTGCAATATGAAAAAACTGAAGTAGTTATTTTTTATATAAAAATCATGATATGCAACCTGGAATATAGAAGGTTTGTAAAACGTGGCACTATAGGGAACAGGGATGGGGCCCTTTCTGGTACAGTAGGTCTAAGTACTGGTCTAATCATTTTAACTTTACCTCTCCAAAGTAGGATATATCTATAGCACAACACGTTTTAACCAATAGACACACTACACACCGGCAGACACACACAGAAACAAACAAATAAACAATACACTGAACGTTGGATTGAGACGTATGCTCATCTGTCACTGCAGTGATTGTTGCTCTAACGCTTTGAACACACCGACTGCGTCATTGCGTTTTGGTATACCAGAAGTACATTCATTTCCAATGGAACGATGCGTTTGCCTTGCGGCATTGTGTTGCAGAGGCAGTTGCAGTGCGTTCTGTGTGGTGCATACGTTGGATTTATCGAACGTATGCGTCAAACTGTATGCGTAAACAGGTTGACAGAAATGGTAGCAGAAGGTGAATGTTTAACTTTTGCTGCACACATATCTAGATGATGCTGCATATTATTTTGCGCAATGACGCAGTCGGTGTGTTCAAAGCGTAAGGCCTATACATCAGAATAAGGTCCTGTTATTGTGTGATTGTTGTTTTGTCTGTAAAAAAAATAATACTTTGCGAGCATAGCCATTTTAAGAACCACCTTAGTACAATACAAAACTGAAGACATTTGAATTAGAATGCCAATCCGGAACTTCTAAAAATCGAGTAACGCTTCGTACTAATTGAGCTACTAAATTGAGACTGGTGTCAAATTAACTGTAGGAATGAGTGACATCCAGGTGTGCCACATACAGTGATAACAACCCTGTCATACCTTTAATATCCCCTTACGTCAGCCCTCTCCCTTAGTCACTCTGTTTAATTAACTACTCATTCAACGTCTCATACAGCTCCTACTTCCTAAATAGAAAGGCATTTTTTGTGTGATATCCAGTGCTGCTGTCCCCAATTCGTTCATCCCTATCTCGGATGGTAATAATAGCTGTGTGACCCACAATGTGAGGGAAATTAATCAAAATGACTTTTACAAAGTTAATGGATGTAAAAATATTTGCAGAGCTTTTAACAGACGTCCTCTATGCATGAAAGACAAGGACGAGCTGAGGGGAGCTCAACTCTAGACCGAGCAACCAAGCCAACTGATTTACTCCCTCCCTGCCTGCAGTATGCAGTAAAGCCAGAACGACATCTGAGAGACAAACAGGGACATGAGTTATGCATCTTATCACATCAATTTCCCCCTCTGATGGCAAATATGCTGATTAGATAACCGGTCTGTGCCCCTAAATCAAGAGTCTATTCTATAATTTTTGCACCAGGCTAACTCAAGTCTGGATTCATCCATGTTTCTGGATTAGATAAATAGATTAAAAGACGGACCTATGTGAATTTAAATGGCTCCATCAGCATCTTGTGGCTAGAGGGTGAAACCCCGATAAGACCGCCACCATGTTAACTCATGCCCCTTTTAACATCTTATCAAAACCACAAAAGACAAGAGGAAAGAGAACTCTGTGTTACTCCAGGTTAATCATCATTCATAAAATAATTACTAGATTGGGGCATCATTGGTGATGTTCTTATTACAGGGGAATATTTTATTTTTGTAATATCCCCATATTTTAATTCAAATGGAAAATGCAGAGACAAAGTATAAGGTGTTCGGCCAGTGGCCCCTGTAGCCTGTGATAACTGGAGTAACAGACACTACAGGCCCAGCAGTGTTAGAGCCCAGAGTACACAGAGGAACACGGTGAATCAGTTCAGTCAAGCCAGCTACACCCAGGGCACCAGGTAGCCTGGTGGTCCGCACTGGTACCTGTGACGACGATCTTGGGAACGTCCAGAATGGTGCCAAATGACGCCGTTTTACGGTGGCCTCGTTTATACTGGGGACGTGCTGCAACAAATACACATACACACACAGCTGGCGTACACATGCATGCAGACAAAGAGAGAGGGCCCAGAGCTGGAGCATACATGTCGGACAGTGCCCTCTCCTCCTTGCTCCCCTCTGGACTCTACTGGCATGCAGAGCACAAAAGTACATGCACATTGCACAGGAAGCATCTGTCCTGAGGTTAGTTGATTGACAGCACAGTGCTAGCGATGCTGCGTTAGGCACGGCATGGGAAGCTTCAGCACAGACATGACAGGCATTCAGCTACATGTAGAAAGCAGTTTGACTGTACTACATTTACATTTTTAGTCATTTAGCAGACACTCGTACTAATAGAATATCTATGATGAATCTACTTAGAATAGATGATCAAATCATATAGATGGCTCTGAAGATTGTAATATACAGTAACTACAGCATAATTAACTATTGAAGAGCACTGAGGATATACAGATTAAAAGCTAAATACATTATTCATATTCATATAATATACCATTGACAACATGGAAAGTTTAAAATAATTGATATCGCAAAAACAGTCTCAAAGTAAGCTGGAAAGAAAGACTGAGGGAAAAACCCTGACAAATAGAGACTTAATTATAGCTTTTTCATGCCAAACAGTATTTGGCTGCCTCCGAAGCTTAATTTAGACATGACAGGGCTGATGATGAATACAAGGCATTCTCTCAGCCTTCGATCTGTGTGAGGCAGGGGAGATGATTGGCACCAGTGCTGAGGGGCATATGGAGGCGCTTATGAGGGGTGAGGCATGCAGTTTGACGGAGAGGGAGACATGATAGAAGCTACTAATGGCATAGACGCCTTTCTCCATCTCTTGTATTGGGATGAAACCCACTTCAGTAGCTGACGTAAGATTACTGTATGTATGTATGTATGTATGTATGTATGTATGTATGTATGTATCTCCAATAGAACGCCATGGGCAGTTTATGCAAAACATTTGCATATTCATATGTGCATCTCTGAGGACTATAGCGTTGGCTAGGCCTACTTCAATGTGACAGAATTTGTCTCTCCATCAGTGTTGGGGTCGTTACTCAAAAAGTAATATATTACCTATTACTTATTTTAACAATAACAAATTACTTGCCTTATTACTCCCTGGGAAAAGTAATTAGTTACACTACTTGTTATATTACTTTTGCATTATACCCCCAAAACGTTGCATTATACCCCACTGTACAGCTGTAATCACTGCCAAAGGTGATTCTACCATGTATTGACTCAGGGGGTTAAATACAGTTGAAGTCGGAAGTTTACATACACCTTAGCCAAATACATTTACACTCAGTTTTTCACAATTCCTGACATTTAATCCTAGTAAAAATTCCATGTCTTAGGTCAGTTATGATCACCACTTTATTTTAAGAATGTGAAATGTCAGAATAATAGTAGAGAGAATGATTTATTTCAGGTTTTATTTCTTTCATCACATTCCTAGTGGGTCAGAAGTTTACATACACTCAATTAGTATTTGGTAGTGTTGCCTTTAAAAATTGTTTAACTTGGGTCAAACGTTTCGGGTAGCCTTCCACAAGCTTCCCACAATAAGTTGGGTGAATTTTGGCCCATTCCTCCTGACAGAGCTGGGGTAACTGAGTCAGGTTTGTAGGCCTCCTTGCTCGCACACGCTTTTTCAGTTCTGCCCACACATTTTCTATAGGATTGAGCAGGGCTTTGTGATGGCCACTCCAATACCTTGACTTTGTTGTCCTTAAGCCATTTTGCCACAACTTTGGAAGTATGTTTGGGGTCATTGTCCATTTGGAAGACCCATTTACAACCCAGCTTTAACTTCCTGACTGATGTCTTGAGATGTTGCTTCAATATATCCACATAATTTTCCTTCCTCATGATGCCATCTATTTTGTGAAGTGCACCAGTCCCTCCTGCAGCAAAGCATCCCCACAGCATGATGCTGCCACCCCCGTGCTTCACGGTTGGGATGGTGTTCTTCGGCTTGCAAGCGTCCCCCTTTTTCCTCCAAACATAAAGATGGTCATTATGGCCAAACAGTTTTTGTTTCATCAGACCAGAGGACATTTCTCCAAAAATTACGATCTTTGTCCCCATGTGTAGTTGCAAACCGTAGTGTGGCTTTTTTTATGGCGGTTTTGGAGCAGTGGCTTCTTCCTTCTGAGCGGTCTTTCAGGTTATGTCGATATAGGACTCGTTTTACTGTGGATATAGATACTTCTGTACCTGTTTCCTCCAGCATCTTCACAAGGTCCTTTGCTGTTGTTCTGGGATTTATTTGCACTTTTCACACTAAAGTAAGTTAATCTCTAGGAAACAGAACGCGTCTCCTTCCTGAGCGGTATGATGGCTGCGTGGTCCCATGGTGTTTATACTTGCATACTATTGTTTGTACAGATGAATGTAGTACCTTCAGGCGTTTGGAAATTGCTCCCAAGGATGAACCAGACTTGGAGGTCTACAATTTTTTTCTGAGGTCTTGGCTGATTTCTTTTGATTTTCCCATGACGTCAAGCAAAGAAGCACTGAGTTTGAAGGTAGGCCTTGAAATACATCCACAGGTACACCTCCAATTGACTCAAATGACGTCAATTAGCCTATCAGAAGCTTCTAAAGCCATGACATCATTTTCTGGAATTTTCCACGCTGCTTAAAGGCAGTGAACTTAGTATATGTAAACTTCTGACCCACTGGAATTGTGATACAGTGAATTATAAGTGAAATAATCTGTCTGTAAACAATTGTTGGAAAAATAACTTGTGTCATGCAAAGTAGATGTCCTAACCGACTTGCCAAAACTATAGTTTGTTAACAAGAAATTTGTGGAGTGATTGAAAAATGAGTTTTAATGACTCCAACCTAAGTGTATGTAAACTTCCGACTTCAATTGTACATACATACATACATACATACATACATACATACATACATACATACATACATGTGCCTTCAGAAAGTATTCATACCCCTTGACTTTTTCCACATTGTTGTGTTACAGCCTGAATTCAAGATTTTTTTCTGACCCATCTACACACAATACCGCATAATGACAAGGGGAAAATATGTTTTCAACATTTTTGCAAATGTATTGAAAATAAATACTGAATTCTCTCACTTATGTAAGTATTCACACCCCTTTGCTATAACACTCCAAATTGAGCTGAGGTGCATCCAATATCCTTTGATCATCCTTGAGATGTCACTAGAACTTAATTGGAGTCCACCTGTGGCCAATTCAATTATTTGGACATGATTTAGAAAGAAACACACCTGTCTAGATAAGGTCCCACAGTTGACAGTGTCAGAGCAGAAACTATACCATGAAGTCCAAGGAACTGTCCGTTGACATTGAGATAGAATTGTGACGAGGCATATATCTGGGTAGGGGTATACAACTATTTCTAGAGTGTTGAAAGTTTCCAAGAGCACAGTGCTCATTGGGAAATGGAAAAAATATCAAACTACCCAGACTCTGCCTAGAGCTGGCCGTCTGACCAAACTGAGCAACCAGGCTAGGAGGACATTGGTCAGGGAGGTGACCAAGAACCCAATGACCACTGACAGAACTACCGAGTTCCTTGGCTGAGATGGGAGAACATGCCAGAAGGACAACAGTCTCTTCAGCACTTCACCAATCTAGGCTTTATGGGAGAGTGGCCAGACGGAAGCCATTGCTGAGAAAAAGGCACATGACAGCACGCCTGGAGTATGCAAAAAGGCACGTGAAAGACTCGGAGCATAAGGCAAAATATAAATGTGGTCTGATGAGACAAAAATGTACTATTTGGCCTGAATGCAAAGCACTATGTCTGGAGAAAACCAGGCACAGCTCATCACCCATCTAACACCATCCCTACCTTGAAGCATGGTGGTGGCAGCATCATGCTATGGGGATGCTTTTCAGCAGCAGGGACTGGGAGACTGGAGCCATATACAGGCAAATCCTTGATGAGAACCTGCTTCAGAGTGCAAACAATCTTAGACTCGGGCGAAGATTTACGTTTCAACAGGACAATGACCCCAAGCATTCAGCCAAAGCAACGCTGGAATGGTTTCAGAACAAGAATGTGAAAGTCCTTGAGTGGCCCAGCCAAAGCCCAGACTTGAATCCCATTGAAAAACTGTGGAAAGACGTGAAGATTGCTGTTCACCGCCCCTCACCATCTAATTTAACAGCGCTTGAGAAAATCTGCAAGGAAGAAAATCCCCAAATCCAGATGTGCAAAGCTGATAGACATACTCAAAACGACTCAAAGCTGTAATCGCCGCCAAAGGTGATTCTACAAAGTATTGACTCAGGGGTGTGAATACTTACAGTATGTAAATTTGATATTTCAGTATTTAATTAGCAAAAATGTGAACATTCTAAAAACATGTTTTCACTTTGTCATTATGGGGTAGTGTGCAAAAATCTGTTTAATCCATTTTGAAATCAGGCTGCAACACAACAAAATGTGGAATCTATTTTTTATTTTGCTCAGAAAACTTGGGGGGGGGCCAAATAAAACCAGTTGCTTTTTTCATCTCCCTCACTAAAACAGTTATTAAAAGTGTGTGCGTAAACAGGAACTTGGTGAGAAGACAAATTAATTAGAAACAAATACAATCTGGGGCGGGGGGATTTTTTATATTGCGCCAAGAGAGGAAATAATAATCATTAATATTTATTAGGATCAATAAGTGTAATAGGAAGGGAATGATAACAATAGTAATGCCCCATTCCTTTGATCAGTAACTAATATTATTAGTCAAATTGGAACAGTAACTCTGTTAAATTAATAATTACCGCAAAAAGTTATATTGTTACCCGCAACACTGATCTCCATACTGTACAGCAGTGTGTGGGTGTGTTTAGAAAATATGTAGGCCTATACTTGTCCTCTTGCATAATCCATTGCGGGGTGTAGATTCCAACGTTACCTGCGGGTGCGAAAGGCACCCTGTGCTCCAGCTCTGACAGGTCTGCGCTCATTCTTTTGCTCTCCGAGGACAGCAGGCTGTGGGTTCGCCCCGACAGGCTCTCAACACTGCCGCCTCTGGACAGAGGCAGGCTTCGCGATGGGTCTCCCTGAGTGCACAGACAAAACAGATACTGTTGGCCTACTGTACATTTCACTACTTATTCACTTAGGTCACCAAATTATATTTCGTGTACTGATGATTACTTCAAAATGGCCATGATTACTTTCATACGAGGCTGTTTATATCCACACAAATGTAATTGCCTTAAATGTGTCTACCTTTTCTTTCTAGTCACCTGACAATGTAAATTGTTCCAGTTTAATTGTTGTGGTAGAAATGGCTAGCAAGGTACAATACAGCTTGCTGCCTTACCTTTGGCCTGAACTGATGTGCAAACTGAGGTGTGATCTTGATGGTGTCGTTGCTCCCTTGAGAATCCCCATGCTCCATGTTTGTGTCACTCTTGTTGCTAGTGCAAGTGTTGTCCACATAGGAACCTATAATACCAATAGAGAGGTGATGAGACAATGGAGATATTTCCACATTACGTCAATGATGTTTCATGAAGGTAAAACTCTAGTGCAGATAATAAAAGCTTCCATTATTTCAAGGATATAGATTTCTATTTATTTATTTAACCTTTATTTTAGCAGGGAGTCCCATTGAGACCAAGGTCTCTTTTGCAAGGGAGCCCTGCATCTCAACAATTACACAACAATAACACAATCAGCAGCATAGGAGCATCACAAATGCATCAAGAAAAATCCATAACACAATCATGAAAAACAACATTCCTCAGTAAAATACCTGTGCTCGTGGCCGAGTTACTCTGTCCTTCATCTGAATACTGGTAAGGGTATTGCAAGGGTTCATCAGATCCTGGGAAGCACTGGAAAAGAGGTTGACAGAGAATGTAAGAGTGCCATTACCAACACTGACCGGTAGGTAAGCAGTCTGAGAACAGGACACCATGAAAAGAGTCCTGCATGCATCCAGGGTTGGTGTCGGCATAGAATTAAAAAGAACACTGGAATGGACATTGTGGTGGTCAATAACTGCAGGACGGCCATCTTGGTAAGGCAATCTTTCATTTAATGAATCTCTAGGAGTGCGTGTGTGTGTCTAGGAGGGCCTTACCCTCATAAGATGGGTCATGATCTTGACTATCTCCTCCATGGAGGGCCTCTGGGAGGGGTCTTTGGACCAGCAGCGGGTCATCAGGCTCTCGATGGGCTTGGGAAGGCTCTTGATGAGCGGTGGCCGGGTGCCTGAACACCATCAACACAAACAGAGATGGCTACATTAGATCAATATTAATCTCTATGAATACAAACACAATCACAAACAGTCACAGTCACAGTAAAATGTATGGAAAGATCATATAAACTCAAATATGTTAAAAACATGACGACGTTCCAGAAAGTTAATTGCAGTACAAACACGAACAACACTTGCAAATGACAGCCCCTGCTGTGGTGGCTCTGCTAACGTGTCAGAGAGACCAGCGCAGCAGCAGTGTCCCCAGGTGTGCTCCTGCTCTCAGACAGTCAGCGTTCCGTTAGCATTCTGTGGTAACCACGGGGAGCACCTCACAGGCGAGTTTGTCTTTTAATTGATCTTCACCGTCAGCCTCGTAACTCATTTCATCTCTCAGCAGGTCTCACTGGGGACCTGGCTCTGAAACGCTAGGGTGATTGACATGTCAGCACCACCATGAACTAATTCACCTCCCCAACCTCCACCCCACTCGGACTCACCGTTGTGCACGGCCCACATGATGCGGAAGGCCGGCCCTCCGATCTCGTCAAAGGGCTTCCTGCGCGTGATCACCTCCCAGAGAATGATGCCCCAGCTGAACACATCACACTTCTCACTGTAATTGCTGCCTGAATGCACAGAGGAGAGAAAGAGCTCCACTCAGGGCCTTTCAGATGAGGAAAAAACAATGTGCTTGACTGATGAAAGGTAATTCTCTGAGGCACAGTTAAGTGAGGAGTGTTGGGGGAGGGGGTGTTCATGGTAAAGTACAGGAAGCCTTTATTTTGTTTGCACCTTTAGACCACAAATGTGATGAAAATAAGGAGGCAATTTTACTTCAGGGCCGCTCGAGATGCATAATTACTGTGGCTATTATTGCGGAATTAAACTGCTCTTCACACATATGTTATGGGCTGTCTCCCAAATGGCATTTTATTCCCTATTTAGTGCACTATCTTTGACCAGGGCTCTGGACAAAAGTAGTGCACTATATAAGGAATAGTATCATTTGGGACTCAGCCTTAAAGTTGATGTGCTGCCTAGGCCTTTTGATAACATTTCTCCCTGTGATGCAAATTAGCTTTAAGGAGGACATTCTGGGGGCAAATGTGAGCTGTTTAATTGCATGGGAGTCATGTTACTCCCTCAACAAACAAGATAATGACTATCTCATTTGTGTTTCCTCCTGCCCACCTCTTAATGTGTTTTGTAAAACAAAGTACATTAGGCTAACGCCTGAGAGCATAGACTCAAATGCTACATTCTCTCAGGGATGAAACCTTTCTCCTAGGATATTTTTCAGCAGCAGTGGCAAAGTTAGTGTAGAGACAACATGTTGCTGTTTAAATGCTAATTTCCTGCAATTCTACACATTTTGCCATGGCTTTTGCAGTGTTCTTTTGCTATCGAGTGACTCAAACGTAACAATATCAATGGGGGCTCCATGCCATGACATTTTTAGAATTTTAGATGCTCCCTGACTGTCTAGTTTTTATTTTGGTAGTTCTCAAAGATGATTTTATTTAAAAATATATAGCTCCATTATCTTTTCTAATTAGTCGTTTACGTTTACAATGAAACACTGCATTCACCTTCTAAAAGCATGTGTGCAATAATCATGACTGTAAATGAAGAGAATGCTAACAAATGTTGGATTAATCAGGCTTTGAGAAATGATGGCGTCTATGTGTTTGCGGTGCCTTCCAGTGAGCAAGTGAGTGACAAATCCAAAGTGGAGAACTATTACAATTAATGAGCACTTCCACCACTAGACATAAGCTCTACTATAAACAGTAGTATCACTTCATCAAACACTGACTATCAATTAACTCTAGGTGAATGGATTCGTGAAAGGCTACACCTGTTTAGATAGCCCCTTGTTCTCAGAGGTTGATTTGATATATTAAGCTCCCCATGCAGCTCACACTTGCCTTCAAACACCTCAGGGGCCATCCAAGCTGCACTTCCCTTGTTGTTGGTCATGTGGGTCTGAATGTCGCACGCGGTTCCAAAGTCACATATCTTCAGCACGGTGCCACCGGCAACAAGGAGCAGGCTGAAACAAACAATTAAAACAAAGATCTACTCAAATGACGTGAACTTCAGTGGTTGGTGACGTGTGAGACTACGTGAGGGTAACTAATAGAGGCTGCTGAGGTCTTACTGGGTTAAACACTTAATAAATCCACTTTAGATTCAAGGCAAACATTTCTAATCATAAAAACCCTGAAAAAGTAAAATGTAGCAAGTAAGATTCTTGCTTTTAAATATACAAGGGTAAGTCAAATCCACTACAGAAAATAACTCTACAACCACTGTGTCACACAAAGGATGTGAAGGTTAGGTGGCAGGTTTTAAAACAGCATTCTGTGGTAGCGTCCCAAATAGCACCCTATTAACTACATATGAGCCCTGGTCAAAAGTAGTGTGCTATATAGGGAATAGGGTGCCATTTGGGACGTAGCCTGTAAGTTCAGCCAGTGGTTGGCAAGCGTGACCCAGTTCTTCCCAGGGTGTAAATTCTGGACAGGTTTGTAGGAAATTGACCAGCTGGTCATTCCAACAGTGCCCTGCCTCTGCCAGGGACTTTTTCCCGTCGGAGCCCAATAAATAACCTCTGGAGCCGGTACAGCTACTCTAAGCAATTCAGTCAGAGGCATACTATGAAAACACTTAAGGCATCACTACTGAAGCCAGATCACAAACATAGGACTATTACACCAGAGGACTAGAGGATGACAAAAGCTATGCTCTTTTGGTTCAAAAAGTCAGATAAAGCATTTAACGCTATTGCATAATATAACATAGGCTACAACACACAACCACCTTGAGTGGGGGAGCAAGGCACTTTATGGGCAGTGAAACAGACAAGAGAGAGTGAGGAGGTGGGGAGGAGGAGCATACTTGGGTGGTTTGAGGTCCCTGTGAATGAGAGCCTTTGGTTTCATGCCATGGAGATAGGCGACCCCTTGGGAACACTGAAAACACCAGCTCATGGCATGGGAGGCAGTGTAATAGGGGAGGGGTTCAGCACCATGCAGCACTGTGGACAGAGAACACAGTCACTACCACAGACATCTCCAAATAAACACAGAACACACATATCTCCATAGAGACCTCGAGACCAATGCAAACACTCATGCACGGAACCAGTGGTGGAAAAAGTCCCCAAGTGTCATACTTGTGTAAAAGTAAAGATACCTTAATAGAAAATGACTCAAGTAAAAGTCACACAATAAAATACTACTTGAGTAAAAGTCTAAAAGTATTGGTTTTAAATATACATCAGTATCAAAAGTAAATGTAATTGCTAAAATATACTTAAGTAAAAATAAATCTAATAAAATTGCATTTGTCACATGCGCCAAATACAACAGGTAAGAAATGCTTACTTACAAGCCCTTAACCAACAATGCAGTTCAAGAAATAGAGTTAAGAAAATATTTGCTAAATAAATTAAGTAAAAAATAAAATAAAAAGTAACACAATAAAATAACAATAACAAGGTTATATACAGTGGGTATCGGTACCGAGTCAATGTGCGGGGGTACAGGTTAGTCAAGGTAATTTGTATATGTAGATAGGGGTAAAGTGACTATGCACAGAAAATAAACAGCAAGTAGCAGCAGTGTAAAAACAGAAAGTATAAATAATTTCAAATTCCTTATATTAAGCAAACCATATGGATAGCCAGGGGCACAATCCAACACTCAGACATCATTTACAAACAAAGCATTTGTGTTTAGTGAGTCCACCAGATCAGAGGCAGTAGGATGACCAGGAATGTTCTCTTGATAAGTGCGTGAATTGGACCATTGTCAAGTCCTGTTAAGCATTTGAAATGTAACGAGTACTTTTGGATGTCAGGGAAAATGTATGGAGTAAAAAGTACATTATTTTCTTTAGGAATGTAGTGGAGTAAAAGTAAAACTTGCCAAAAATATAAATAGTAAAGTAAAGTACAGATACCCCAAAAAACTGCTTATGTAGTACTTTAAAGTATTTTTACTTAAGTGCTTAACACCACTGAACAGAACACACTCTTACAGACATGTCAGACAAAGAGTTCCAAGAGGGTAGGCATACATCATTCAAATACGCAAATAACCACTGAATAACATCAAAGTTATAGTTCCAAGTATTCAACAAAGTTTTGACGACCACAACTAAGAACGTCAACTTTAACGAACCTAAAATATTACTTTGATAGAGATTCAGAGGGATAACAGCAGACAATGAGGTAAAGTGCTTGTGCAGGTAAAGGGCCATTTACACTTCCTAAATATGTGATACTCCACTTGCAGGTCACTGCGCAAGGACTGGCCAATTTAATAGTGGGCTATTTAAGGAATCATGCCAATATTGGGCTTATTAAGAGAACAGTTTGCATGTGGGTATTGGAGTCATTGACACATTGACTGCAATATTTCCACTTGTTTGGTATGACAAGGCATGTGTTGAACTAATTTACAAGCCATGTCAATGGCCAAGTCTAGTGTGGTAGTGTAGTATCCTACATAATCGCCCAGAGACTCACCATTGTACAGAGACCCCCCTTCAGCATATTCCATCACCAGGCAGACCTAGATGGGAAAATTAGCATTAGGCAAGAATAACAAAAGGCTAACAACGTACTGTTCCAAGGTATTTACAACAACAACTGGCAAAACCATAGGCTATAACACACTGAAATATGGGAGTGTTTAAAAGCTGACTTACTGGATTATTGCATGAGCCATACAACTTCACAATGTTGGGGTGATTCACACGTGAAAGCTGCCGCAACTAGGGAGGGGAGAGAAGGCAACACAATCAAGATGGGGTTCCTTTAGTTGTAATAAACTGCATTGTCACCACTTTGCAGAATAGCTCTATAGTCCATTATAATGACAGTACCTCAACTATGAATGCTTTCCTTTCACTTTCACTCTCTATTGTCTTGATTGCGACATCTTTGCCTTTCCATTTGGCCTTGCAGACAACACCAAAAGCGCCTCTCCCCACAACCTGAAAGAGAAGAGGTAGAAGACATAAGCAAAGTGTGTTGGATGCATTGTTATTAATCCCTTATTATCATGACACTACTAAATCCACTTTCCACCAGGATATATTAGGCCTAGCTAACACTGTTGTTATTTTTTGTGAGCAAGTTCCATTACACAATAAAGCATATCAATCACAGTCTGTGTGCAGTCAACATCAGCTGATGGAGAGGGGTATATGTCAATGTGGGGAACTGCAACTAACTAGCTACATAATCAAAACAAGAATTGCCAAATAGATTTGGATCATAGCTAGCTAGCTAACTGACCATTCTCCATCATGTCTATGGCTTGGGCAAAATCATTGATGAATGGTATAGCTATAGTGACATAACTAATGGCCATGTTTAATTACCAAGCTTTTCAAAACCAGAATAAACAAACATTCCTTGCATGGTAGAGCTAGCTAGTATGACAATTGAGATAAAGCATTGTTGCAACTTCAGCGTCATGACTTGGTCTTAATGTCTATGGTCATGACACTAACATAAGAGGATCACTCCACACGTGCCAATCAAATGGAATGTTGAGCTATTTAGCTACTTACCTCCTCAACTTCAATATCCACATAATCTATTTCTTCAAAGGGATATCCAGGTGGAGTTTCAAGCATATCGGCGGAAGACAGTGACATTGCTAACTGGCTAACTAACGTTACTCATTAAAACCAAGATGTTCTAAAATCAAATAAATAAATAAATAGTTAAAACATGCATGACGCGCGCACTCGAAGGAACAGCAAAAAATGTATATTGCATGACACAACTTGCCAAGACACTGGCGGACCTAACACAAGCTGTGTTAGCTAGCTAGTTAGCCAGCTCAGTACAAACATACACAGCCAGCTGGTAACTAACTGAGCTAGCTACTGTATCTAGTTAAAAAGTCGACGATTGGCTAACTAGTTAGCGAACAATTTGAAAACATACAATTTTCAATTGCCATATCATGGACGCCAACGACGTTTGTTGGCAAAATTAATTCAGCAAGTTAGCTAGCTATATATGACACTAGGCCGCTTGCTGGCCTGGTATGCCAGCCCGTCGCCGCCGTAGACTGCGGTGCACCCCACCTGTACTAGTGGCTCGAGACATGGCAGGGGTTATTGATTTCCTCAACATTTAAAACTCAGAGAATCGATTTGACTCGCGGACATAACATTAAAATGACGACTCTGAGACTGCTTCCATTATATACTTTTGTTTTTTTCCCTTAGTTGTTGCAGGCAGCAGCTCCAGGAAGTGTGCTCCCTTAATTCTACCCCACCAACTTTGTGCCCCTAATGGCATGCAGATGCAACTTCGTAAATAGTGGCGCTATAATAAAAAGGATGCGAGTTTTTTACATTATTACAATAAAGCCATGCATAAGTGTGTGCCTCTTGTATAAGTATACGCCTCTTATATGTTAATAATATACCTACTGTTGAAAAACGCAAATGACAGCTGTGATTGACTGACTGAATGTAAACGTTGTTAGAGTGACACAGGTATAATACAATGGTACTCATTTTAGTGCTTCAGTGTTTCAAAATTCAATTGTCAATTTATCAAATGGACCATCAATCATGATCCATCAATCATTAGTGGCGAGGGGCAAAAACTTAAGTGAACAGTCGAGCATCAATCAGCGCCATGCCACTATGTTTTGTCATCTCTAATATAATATATAATTTGAAAGGGGAATATGTATTTTTATATTCAACCAACATCTCTGTGTGTCATGGATTCAAATAGTGAAAATAAAGGGTAATTCCACTACAGATTGATTCGCATAGGACGAGAATGTATCAAATGCTCAATTTAAAGGCCCAATACAGTCAAAATTCAGTTTTTCGTATCATATTCTACAACAGCCGAGGAAACGAACATTGTAAAAGTGTGAAATGTAACACTTTTATTTCCTGATAGTTGCTGGTTGAAAATACTATCTACAAAGGATCTTCTAATCAGAAGATTTTGCATGGGTGGAGTTTCGGCTTGCCTGGTGACATCACCAGGCGGTACATTTGTTAATACTCAGAGTCGATTGTCATAAGAAGGAATTGCCCTCGACCACACCCACAAATTGGGGAAAACAAACATTATTTCCCATTGACCCCATTGTAAAAGAGCCAACTTCATTGATTTTGTTCTTATACAGAAATAACAAAACATGCCGAAAAGCTGCTGTATTGTTCAATGTACATGTAACCAGGTAAAAAATCCCAAACTACGGTTCGCAACACACCCACGTAGGGAAATAGAGCCTGTGAGAAGAGCCCTGTGGCTTCAGGCTATTCGGAATGGGAAACGTGGGGATCTGGTGTCCATGTAGGCGTAGCTATGTGTGTGGAAAACGTTTAATTACAAGTAAGACTTGTTTAGCATAGTCCGTTTGTAACTCCACTCACTACTTGTAGCTGTATAGTCCATTTGTCTGTGTTGTTGGTCTTGGCTAGCTTAATGTGCCGGTCGGTAGATAGCTAGCACTCATTCACTCACGTGACTGCTAGCACCGTCATGAAAAGGGGCATGAGCGAAGCCCAACAATATTACATTTTTCTAAATAGTGAGAACGCTCAGGAGCAGACCACATTGAAAAGTAATCTTTAGATATGTTTGTTTCTTAAATTTAGTTTTCTAATTGACTAAAACAAGCAGACAAGAAAAATGCATTTGACAAAGGTGACGTTTTTGCTGTGAGCCAATGGGGTAACCTAGGTAACCACAGGTTTTCCCACGAAGTCACAGAATAATGAGTCAGATATTTTACTGGATGTTTAAATGTGAAGCATCTGGTTAGCATTTCCACTCACTACCAAATATGGTGATTAGGAAGCCCAGTGGCTGGTAATGGTAGAAGATGGAGCAAGATCGATTTTGTCGGACATTCTGCAAATGTTCTCCTCGATGAAGCATTTGATCCCATTACAGTTTTCTGTTTCCAAAACTAGAATCTGTAACAGAGTGGACTACGTTTTGTAGACTACCCTTTGCCAAAGTAAAAAAAAAAAAATAGTTGTTTAGAAAGAGTGCAAGGGTGAATTGAGTTATTGCAGACGCACACTTCACAGAGTAGGCGTTCCCTAGCGGAAATAAATGCTAGAATGCACCAATAGGACCTCGCTAGCTTGTGTTTGGCTCTGCCCACCTCGCTTTTTCTGCCCACTATGATTAATTTGCTCAGGCTCTGGTCTATCTTGGGTTAGTTATAAAAATCTTCAGCAACGTTCTATCTAATACCTACTGGGACTATAGACCAAAAACAAAGAGCGTTCCAAACCTCTGCCAACAGCTAGTTTTCAGTTTTTCCCTCCCCACTATTTTTTGTTTCTTTGTATATTGACAATTTTAATGGAAAACTATTACAGTAATGTACTTAACTTCTATCTTATCTCATTCTCATTGGCGCCAAAAGTTTAAAAAGTGTTGATAGGGACAGAATGCGGTCGGACCATCATAAAATTGGCATATACATTACTCTTACTGAATTTCCACGTGGGCGAGGATATTGGAAATTTAATCAAAGCCTATTGGATGATACTTTATTTTTAACTAGGACAAAGGAATTTATAACTGACTTTTTCCGACATAACATAGGTACAGCAAATCCCCTTATTGTATGGGACACCTTTAAATGTGCCTTTAGAGGCCATGCAATTCAGTACTCATCTCGAAAACAAAAGCAATTTAGGTCAAAAGAGTTTATACTAAGAAAGGAAATTGAAAGTCTAACAGAACAGATAGATGGCAATAAAAACTGTAACATAGAGGCTCAGAATAAATTAGAGGAAAAACAAAAAGAAATGGAGAAACTTATTCAAGAAAGATCAAGTGTACTATATTATAAAAATAAAGCAAACTGGATGGAATATGGGGAAAAATGCACCAAATTATTTTTTTATCTTCAACATAGGAATGCTACCAAAAATAATTTAATGAAATTGGTTACAATTGACGGAGTAACCCATGATTCACCAAATGATATTTTGAAGGAGGAAACAAGGTACTTTAAGCATATGTTTTCGTATCAGTCGCCTCCATCTCCTCTAACTGAAGCGAATTGTAGAGATTTTTTTTCTATTGATAATGTAAAATTAACAGCCAAACAGAAAGACTCATGTGAAGGTGAAATTACAGAGGAGGAACTTCTGGATGCAATTAAAGACTTTAAGTCTGGGAAAACTCCAGGGTTGGATGGCATACCAGTCGAAGTATACCAAACCTTTTTTGATATACTAAGAGGACTGCTATTAGCATGTTTTAACCACTCCTATGTAAATGGTAGATTATCTGACACTCAAGAAGAAGACCTCATTATTACTGAAACAGGATACAAGTGGAAAATATAAAGTCCATAAAAAAAATTGGAGGCCCCTTACACTTCAGTGTTGTGATGCAAAAATTCTAGCAAAATGTATAGCGCATAGAATTAAAAAGGTATTGTCGGATATTATTCATTCTAATCAGACAGGTTTTTTACATGGAAGATACATTGGAGATAATATAAGGCAAGTATTGGAAACAATAGAACATCATGAAAAATCGGAGAAACCAGGCCTGCTATTCATAGCAGACTTCGAAAAGGCATTTGATAAAGTACGACTGGGGTTTATATATAAATGCCTGGAGCATTTCAATTTTGGTGAATCTCTTATAAAATGGGTCAAAATCATGTATAGTAACCCTAGGTGTAAAATAGTAAATAATGGCTATTTCTCAGAAAGTTTTAAACTGTCAAGAGGAGTGAAACAAGATTGTCCACTATCGGCATATCTATTTATTGTGGCCATCGAGATGTTAGCTATTAAAATCAGATCCAACAATAATATCAGGGGATCAGAAATCCAGGGCTTAAAAACAAAGGTGTCATTGTACGCTGATGATTCATGTTTTCTTTTAAATCCACAACTAGAATCACTCCACAGCCTCATAGAGGATCTAGATACATTTTCTAACCTCTCTGGATTACAACCAAATTATGACAAATGTACTATATTACGTATTGGATCAATAAAAAATTAAATGTTTACATTGCCATGTAGTTTACCAATAAAATGGTCTGATGGTGATGTGTATATACTCGGAATAAATAAATGATCTCACTTCAATAAATTATAATAGAAAGTTAGCAAAAATAGATAAGATCTTGCTACCATGGAAAGGTGAGTGCCTGTCAATTTGTGGAAAAATCACCCTGATTAACTCTTTAGTATTATCCCAGTTTACCTATTTGCTTATGGTCTTGCCTACGCCTAGCGAACCGTTTTTTAAAATTATATGAAGAAAAAAAAAATCCATTTTATTTGGAATGGCAAGCCAGACAAAATTAAATGGGCCTATTTATATAATGAATATGAATTCGGAGGACAGAAATTATTAAATATTAAAGCATTAGACCTATCACTAAAAGCTTCAGTCATACAAAAGTTATACTTAAATCCGAACTGGTTCTCTAGCAAATTAGTAAGATTGTCTCACCCAATGTTCAAGAATGGCCTTTTTCCCTTTATTCAGATTACAATCACTCACTTTCAGTTATTTGAAAAGGAAATCATCCCCCAGATATCACTACTTCTAAAACAAACCATAGAAAGTTGGTTGCAATTTCAATTTAATCCTCCAGAAACGACAGAACAAATAATGCAACAAA